TTTTTTTTTTTTTTTTTTTTTTTTTTTTTTTTTTTTTTTTTTTTTTTTTTTTTTTTTTTGTTCCCTTATATGTATTTACACAAGTTGACTGATGGTGTAAGGTGTAGCACTGGCACAATCTAAAGCAGGGAAATAACCCATTTTGTTTAGTTTGAGGGCACAAACAGTAATTCTTGAATGTTTCACATTGACAGTGATGGATAACTTTTGTAAATGATCGGTTCTAAGATTCTGTAATCTAGAGGACTAAATAGTTTAGGTGTGAAGGAGCACTGAGTGTTTAACTTTCAGGTTATTGGTTTATTTATATAGGTCAGGAAAGCAGTAACAAAATCTGCTGCCCTGCAGCTGCCAGATTGTACTATGTCAGTCTGCATGGGGAGAGGTCTGTGGGACGACTGACACCTTCAGCTTTCAAGATTATTTAGTGCAGGACTGTCAATGTTGTCCTTTGTAATTTGTGTTTTTAAAAAATGACTGATAAAACCAGAGATAGGCATTATACCGGGTTTACCTCTGGTTAAGAGATGAGTTGTTACTACAGTGACTTTCAATGTGCTGTCTCTTCTGGTTTGTTTGTCTTGTGTCACGTCGTGGTTCATGGAAAAAGTTACAGGTAGGTGAGGATGATGACTGGGATGGAAAAGGAGGAAGATTTTTTGGCTATTTGGTGTGCAGAGACAGATCATGTGCTGCTGACCAGTGAGTCCTGGGGGGAAGGGACTGAAGTGGCCAGTGCTCCTGAGCAATTTTAGAAAAGCACCAAGAGCAGAGGAGAGCTGTGCTGCTGGCATGAGGATCATCCAGCAGTGGCTCAGTTGGGAAAACAATTATGCAAGTGACCTTTGCTGAGACCTCTGTGGACTCAGGAGCCAGACCTTTGGGAGATGCCAGAGCTGCCGGTGTAAGCAGCCACCTTGGGTATCTTGTGATAAACAGACTTGTCCTTTAGACCTTGTGTTTACCCAATGTGTTACAACAGCATTCAGTTCCCTGCTGCTGAGCTGATGGTTTTTACCTCCAGGGTGTTGGGGGATTTGTCATTTAACCTAGGAGGTTTTATCCTGGGGCACTGTGACACACACCTCTGCTTCTGCTATCTTTTGGGGTTATGGAAGTATGGGATATGCTAAGAATCAGGCAGAATAGATAGGAACTGAGAAGACCTGAATTACTTTTTTTGTTTTACATTTCTGTGGGCTCAAAAATGAGGGAATAAGGTCAGTTTTTTGTGGTGGTGGAGGAGGGTACTCATGTTCAGTATGGGTATTAAGGTGTGAGGTGTGTATAAGCAAATCACTTTGCAGTAGGAATGGGTTCTTTGCTCTGGCTTTTAGTTCCAAAGTTATGGCTAAGGTTATTCATGAAGTCCTAGAATGCTTTGGGTTGGAAGGGACATTTAAGATCCTCTTGTTCCAACTCCCTGCCATGGGCAGGGAAACTTTCCACTAGACCAGGCTGTTCCAACCCTGTCCAACTTCAATGGATGGGGCAGCCACAGCTTCTCTGGACAACCTGTGCCGGGGCCTTACCATTCTCACAGTAAAGATTTTTTCCCTTATATCTTACTCCAACCTGCTTCTGTCAGTTTGAATCCATTTCCTCTTGTCCTGTCATTCCTGGCCATTGTCCAGATGTTCCTCAGTTCTCTTGGAACCCCTTTAGGCACTGGAAGGGGCTCTAAGGGCTCCCTGGAGCCTTCTCTTCTCCAGCTGAACACTCCCAGCTCTCTTACCTTGTCTCCATAGCAGAGGTGCTCCCACCCTCTGAGCATCATTGTGACCCTCCCCTGAGCTCACCTCATTCCTTCAGTCTTTGGTCTGAATTCAGTTTATGTGGATGTGAGTGAGCAAATCTTTATCCTGTGTCTGGAGTAATACCAGCACTTTCACAACTGCGTGGGAAGAGGCCTTCCAGAAAGGAGCTGCAAGGCAGCTCATGGTGCCTCCAGGACCTGAAACCTGATTCATTAATTAATTCTGGTGGTGTTAATGTTGCCCTTCAGTTCCCACCTGTAGAGAAGGCCATCACCCTTGGTTCCCTAATCTCCTTTATCATGTTGTCTTCAGCTTTTAGAATTGATGTGTTTTTTGTGATCCTGTATAACAGTGATGAAAAATCCCTGAGGCTGCTTTTCCTCCATTTGCTTTGACAAACTCCTCTGTGTCACGCAACACTTCAGGTTTGGTTGTTATTTCTTCCATTTTTTTTTTAATGTAAAGCCCTTAGCATCCTACCAACTGGGAAACATTTTTCCAAAGGAAGATGCTGAAATGTACACTTGGAATAAATTTTATAGATTAGTAAGATACCAGGCTTTAGACAAAGCAGTCAGTAAACATGAACCTGTTTCACTTGTGAACAGAAATACGTGTGATAGCCTTGACATTATGTACTATAGCTTTCTGTGCCAGTCTGCAGGATAAAAGGGCTTTAATTGCTTTTGTTTTTAAACAGGCATATCAAAACAGTGTAATTTTTTTTTTCTCTTTTAATACTAACTGTGTTTCTTGTTCTCTGCTTCTCCCTTGCAGGCTTTGAAAGAGATGCTATATGCAGCTGTGGACCAGGCCCCTTCTATAGAAGGTAAGCAAATTGTAACCCATAGTTGTGTTTTTCTTGGCACTGGGTGCTGGACACGTAGTCCTGCTACTTTTCTGTCCTCAGTCCTCCTAAATTGGTAAACTTAATATCCTGATGGGCAAATGCCTGGCCTTTCGCAGCCTGCATGCTATATTTGATTGTTAGGACTCTTTGTCCTCTTTCCTTGGGACAATAAATGTCTTTGTATAGTTTGAGACAGCAACAGCTGGATTCCTCTTGCTTATAAGGTCATTCAGTGGTGGAAGTATTTTCTTCATTGCTTGAGAATAAAGCTTTGTTTTCCTGTGAGAGCCTGCCACTCTGGGAGATAGCTGGGCTGGAGAGACACTGGTTCCTGGTTTGTTACTGGTGATTTGAGCTGGGAGAGTCTCATCCTTTTGTTCTGTGTCCTCCCTGAGTGCTGTGCTGCCTCTCCCATGTGGGCATGAGTATATCTTCTTGTTTGCATGTGCTTATTGCCTCTGACTACTCTAGCTTATTCTAGTAAGGTGTTTGGTTTTAACCTCACTGAATGTTAAATGGTTTGTTTAATTAAGTGATGATCTGTGCAAAATTTCTTAATAGAGCCTTTTACTTTCTGTATCCTTCTTCCTTTTGTTTTCTTTTAAGTACTGAAGCCTCTGTGTTGCTTCCTTATTTTCTTGCCCTTTATGTGGATTTCCAACTGCTTTATAACCTCCTTACCTTTATTATTTTCACTTTTATTGCAGAGTTAATTTTACTAATTTCTGAATGTGGCTCTGAGCTTCTTGTATATTTATAGAGCAGGAGAACAAGTGTTGGTGTAGTCGGTTGTCTAACACCAGTAATACTGGTCACTCTAAATGTTAGGCCATTAATTACTTTCCTTTTGTTGATTAGAACTGGGAAATGAGGTGTGATGTAGTTAATGTGATTTGTTTTTTAAATTTAACTCGACTCCACCTGTTCTTCGATTAGAATTTTAAAACCAGAGCTGCAATAATTTGTAGTTTAAGAGAGTGTATGTGGGATGGGGCAGTCTGTCCTTAAACTCTTCAGAGATGCATTCCAAGCTGAAAACTTTGTGGAAGCAATGCTCAGGCAGGTGTAATTTTTAGATTTAATCTGACACTTAGCAGCTCACTCAACTCATCATGCTGATTTTGTTAGAAGACTCATACTTTTCTCTAAAGTACAGGTCCTGGAACTAGGTTTCTAAAGATTATGGTCCTAGAATCCAGAATCTGTGGGTTATCTTTGGAAAACTCAGCATACAATGGCAAAGACTAAGTCTTGCTTTATTATTTTAAAGTAGCAAAATTCCATAAAACTCACCACAAACCTTTCTCTCCAAGAGCATAAGACTAAGAGGAGCTGAAGTCTTCTGTGTAGGCCAAACTGACTATAGTAACTTTTAAAGACAACTTACTGATGTTATTGAAAACCCAGCAATATTTTTATGGGAGACTGGAGCAATTATAAGACCTTTCTTTCCCCTCTTTTCTGTCCATTGATTTATTGATAGTGGGAGCAGATGGTGTCTGTGCTAATAGAACTTTGCAGTCTAATGTTGGAATGTGACTTCCTGGGCTTGACTAGGGTTATCTAGGATTTCAAGGTGGGCTTGAGTTGCTCATTGTAAAGTGTTATAATTCAGCATTTTGATTTCTTTCTGTAGTGTGCTGTGATGTTTGTGTGTAAACATATTTGGCCAAGCAAGAGGAGGTGAAGAATAAAATTATATATTTGTGCTCTTTTAAACACTGTTAGAATTTTAACCTGTACTTCTGCTTCCTCTGGTGCTTTAAAGGCCTCAACAAAAGGAAAGCAATGACTTAAGACAGTTTCCATCAGTAGAACAGTGTTTTGTTCATTTTTGGAGGGTCTTTTCCTCTGTACTGTAGAGAATATAATCCAAACTGTTTTGAACCACTCCTATATAAATTTGACTGCCTGACCTACCCTTAAGTGGAGAGCAGTTACACTAATTCCTTCACCTTTTGTGCTGGAAATGAAACAACAGCTTTTTTCCATCCCTGTTGCTTACATCCTTCTCTTTTTTAGGCCCTTCTGCCTTTGTTCATAGGAACTTTAGGCCAGGTTTAGTACATGACTTCACACAAACCTTACCCAGAACACTGCTCTAGTCCCTGTCACAGGACATGGAGCAAGTTCCTTGCATTTTGGGAGGGAATGGAGTAGCTGTTGTCAGGGGCTGGCTGTTGGCGTGCATGTTTCCAGTTGAATATGGATTTTGCAATGGATACTTCCGTGTTGTTTTGAGCTTAGCACAGAAACTACAGGGCTGTGCTACTGAAACCCAGCCTCCCAGTATGAGCCTAATGTAATCTCGTTTTAGACTGGTCTAACTAAAATCCATTTGCTAATTGATCTCGTTGATCACAGACATGCTGCAGAGCTCCAGAGCTGGCTTTGATTTACCTTGCATGAATTGTAAGCTAATCTTTGGATCATATATTGGATTGTGAAGACAAGGGAGTTTTGTACAGCAGAGCTGAGGCTTTTCCTGGTTCTTATTCTGCTTGGCTGGATGTGTGATCTGGCATTTGTGAATGAATTTCTTAGATTTCTGCTGCAGGCTGCTTACTATGTCAGTCAGTAAAATTTGTGTATAGACAGAAATGCTTCCTATTGCTTAGTAGAATGCTGAAAGCACTTTGGAAGGTCTTTAAAACAACAAAAAAGTGCTACTCTCTTAACTAAGGCATGTTGTAAATAATAGGCAAGGCAGAAAATAGGTGAGCCATCCATCATGAGCAGCTTTCTTTGGGTTTGTATTTGGTCATTTTCTGTTTGTGGATGGGTAAACAAACCTAACTTCAAAATGACTTCTAAAGTTTTGCAAAGGACAGTTGCTTGTGCTACTTTAGTGGACAAAGTGCTGCTGAGAAGAGGGTCTTGGCTCTAAATTGTACAGGTTTTTCTGTGGATATATGGTGACCATTCTCCCTGTGCTACATTGAATCACCCTATGTCTACCTGTTTTTTCCTATTTTTGGGTAATAAATAGACTGTGATCTTAATAAAAAACATTGTAGAGGTGGATAAGCAAAACCTCTCACAGCTGTATGGTAGGAGGAGGTTGTTTATAGCTGTCCCCTGACACAATTGCAAGGTGCTGTGGCTCCCTGTGTTCCATGAGGGTTATTCCAGACTGTAGCATGTCTTTTCTGGCAGTTCCTAGCTGCACACATATATTTCTCTAATCTGTTCAAAGATACATTTTTTTCATCCATCTGTCTCCTTTGTAATGGCAGTTTTTATATGCCAGTGTTATTCCTCCAGATGCTCCTCATCTTTTTACAAGGCAATCCCCTGATGAAACCTGCACCATCCTTCCACCTGAGCAACATCTGTACTAAATTAGTGTTCAGTGTGTTAATTCAATCCCGTGCACATCACTGGAAGAGGTATCAAATGATGCTGGATCCCCAGCTGTACGATGAGACTTGCTTGGCTTTCTGGAGAGTTCTTTGGCGTGTGTTTGCTTCGTTAGCTGTTGCATTCTGCTCACTGTTACCAGAACAACAACTGAGGAATGAGTGGATGCTGCTCCCAGGATACCATTCCCAGCTCCCTGAGGCACAGCTGGAAGGCCTGAATGCAAGTGTGCCAGACCAGGCACCCTTTTTTGACCCTAAGATACCTTTAGCAAGAATCTGTCATCATTTAGAGGTTAAACTAGAGCATAGTTCTGCTTTCCTCTGAGGCAGAATGTGCAGTACTGCAAAAGCATAAAATTCTGACCTCACTGGGAGCATGCTGGGTTTTTTTGGTTGACTCCTTGTCCTCCCACTGCTTTCTGTTCCATTTGTCACCTAGTAAAGCAGGTTAGTGGACCACTCTTGCTCGGAATGCTCCTGATTATTCCACTTGGTGAGCAGATGTGTCGGCATCTCCCCAAGCTCCTTACGGTGCTGCTCTGCTCGGCTGCAGCGGACACGAAAGTGCAGCTGTAAATTATTCATCCTCATTATCTGCTCCAATGGACAGGGGCCACTCTAAATGTTATTTCTTAAAATATGTGCCTTTCAGATATTTAAATTTATCCTCCCTTTAATAGTTGTGTGAACAAATATCGTTGTTGTAGTATCAGATGATACAAGAGCGTCCTGTTGTATCCTCCTATTATGGAAATTACTTAACCCCAATCCTGAATTCCAGTGGCACCTTTCAAACAAGGATCACAATGGCTCTATGGGAAAGGAATGGTGTATCAGGGTAGGAGTGGGGAGTACAGGTGCTCGCTCTAGGGTAAAATTCAAACCCAGAGGTAAGAGGTGGTGCTAAAGCAGCATTAATTGGTAGGGGAGAAGCTTCAGTGGTGACAGATATGCTCTGCTGGTGCCTGTAATCTTTGTGGTTGCCTGTTTACTCGTGGTGGATTAGGAAAGCAAGAGATGCAAGTTTGGGACATTCTGAGAGTGCCAGCAGTGGCAGCGTGTCCCATGTTATCCCACCCTTGTTTCTGCTTTCATTTGTAAGGCACTTGCCCTGTTAACTGACAGCTACAGGTCTTTAGTGTGGATTTATTTCTGTTGCTGGATAAACAAAAGAGTATTCTTCAGGGGCATAAATAATCTTGGTGAATAAGTAGGGTGTAGGACATCACATTAGTTTTCTTTCCAGAGGAAGTTATGAGCCTGACAGTTTTTGTTATATGCAGACATGCTTTGTAAGGTTGATCAAAGGCTTATGATTTGTCTGTATATATGCAGATGCCTTCTTTTTATTTCAAAATAAACATTTATTTCCAATTGCACAAGATCACTTTGTAGCAGCTTGAGGTTTTGTTTACATGGGAATGCTTAAGGCTTAAAAGAGTCTTAAACAGAAGTGCTGCACATCAGAAGCAGTCACAAAGAGATTAATACTTTGTCTTTATTTCAGCATTTGTCACACACCCATGAGGACATGGGGGTTGGTGTCCTACACCCCAGAGGCAGGTCCTTGGTTCTGCTTAGGCTGTAATTCAGCCTCTGTATTTATAATTAGTATGT